ATATTTTTTTGTCCAACTTCTCTTATCTAGGTGGGTGTACAGAAATCACAATGTGTGAATAAAATTGGGATTGGCTTTGACAGTACAGCGCCAAAGCGGCTCATAAGAACCTGGCAATGACGGCTGCAGCACTGACAAGCCCACAAACAAAAAAGCCACTGACATACAAAATTTAAAAGGAGGGGAAAAAGGAAAAAACCCCCGAACAGATAGGCTGAAAAAAAAGAAAATGAAAAGAGGACGAAAACAAACAAACAAAAAGCCTGTTAGTAGATCAAGGTCTGTGTGTTGACCTTTAGGAGCGTTTTCTGGACGAGTCTAATGGGGTGCCACGTCCTGGTCCCAGAGTCCATCGTTTGTCTTCCCTTGGGACCTCCTTTGTATATTTCTATTAGATTCAATCAAATCTGGTTTAATATTTTGTTTCTACAAATTTAAGGCTTTAGATTTAAAAAAAAGGTTTCTTTCCCCAAGGTGGAAAAACTCAATATGTACAAGTTGTTAAAACTATTTGAGCACTCATAAAAATAAAGATAAAACAGCCACGAAGGTATATCTATAATTTTGCGAGCCTTGTATGCCCTGTAAATGACACTTCTGTACCTACACACACCGAGTTGCTAGTGTCAACACAAGCGCACAATTCCTTCTCATCTGACTGACACACGGCCTCACTGGTTTGCTGTGAGCATTAAGGGAACAACCCTTGGTAAAGTTGTATGTAATAAGTGTTGGCTGTCCTTACAATTATTTCACTTAAAAAAAATTAAAGCCACAAAAATATACGATGTTGATGGAGAATAGCCAAAAAACCCTTGTTCTATGCCTAATACATTTCAGTATGTAAGGTAGTTAAGAGGGATGTCCTGGTGATGTAGTGCTTAAGTGCTCAGTGGCTAATTTCAAAGTCAGTGGTTCAAACCCACCAGCTGCTCCTTGGAAGAAAGATGTGGCAGTCTGCTTCCATAAAGACTCACAGCTTTGGAAACCCCACGGGGCCTGTTTAACTCTGTCCTGCTGGGTCACTGTGGCAGTTACATAATCTGTCAACTTGAGTGAAGGGGTGGAGTCTAGTCTGCCAATCAGGTCATAGCCAATCAGGCCTCTGTGTGGGCATGGCCTTCTCCTGAGGATTCTGAGAACTTCTTCTTCCTCCCTGGTGGTGGGACTCTCTGCCTTCCCTTTCCTGCTGTTGAGACACTCAGAGAGCTGGAGGAGACCACGTGGAGACTCGTGAAAGCACTGAGATGTTTCCACTGCCAATGCAGCCACTAGACCTTTTACCCACTGGCCTGGGATCTCCCTGCATTCAGCATCACTGCAAGTGCTGCGTTGAGTCTAAAGAGGAATTTAAGGGCTAGTATCGGACACCTGGGCAAATATCAGACTTAGGGACTTGATCTGGACTGAGCTGGGATATTTTCTCAAGATACAATTGCTCTTTTATTTAAAGCTCTTTCTTATGCATGTATGAATGTCTATGAATCTATTTCTCTAGTCAGCCCAGAATAACACAGTCACTATGCACTGGAATCAACCTGAGGGCCGTGGGTTAAAGGTGGCTAAGAGTTTGGCTTCTTATGAAATGGGGACAAATGGTAACACATTTATCAATTTTCTCATCTATAAAAATTGGAATCATAATAGTAACTACTTCATGTGATATTTATATGAATTAAATGAGAAACTTATGCAAAATGTATAGAACATCAGCTATGTACTTTACCACTCCATAAACTTTTTGGAAAATTACAAAAAAAAAATTGAATTTAGAGAGACAATGGAGACTCTTAAGGTTTAGAAGTGTCTCAGCATTCAAACTGAACATGATCCACACAGAACCAAAGCTGTAGAGCTGTGAATGCCACTTCCACACAGTAGGGTGTTAAATGTGAAATCGTTTGGGTTAGATTATCCTTCATAGATGCTGTGATATCTAGAGTGACACACAGCATTGACAGTAAGGTGGCGTCTAGTCTTAGAGAATGTGAAAATTTGATTACACCGTAAGAAAATGGGTTTAATGCCTTGAACACAAGGCAGGCAATGGAGAACACTGACATTCTGACACATACCTCCCTGCCCCATTCTCTATGGAAAGTGGACCTTGTAAAATTTCTCCTCAAATAAGTGTAATGTAGACTAATCTTTATGAAACCTTAGGGAAGAGGCCAAAATCGATTAGCAGTTACTTGGCAGGTTCAAAGACCCTTATCAAAGATGGTGACGAATGACATTTCCCCAAAGGGGTTAAAGATCAGTAGGTTTACCTGCTAGTGCTCTGACATCATTTTTAAAAACTTGTTGTCTGGTCCTGTGCAGTGTTTTGAAGAGCTGTAAAACCTGTTTTCAAAGTCAGAAACAGAACACCCCTTATAATTCCATAATATGATAAGATAATTCCATAAGTATGATAAGAATTAAACAACATTCTTTCTGCTTGTTTTCAGAATACCTGGTGAAAATTAGGGTTTACTAAAAACAACTTTCTGGTTGATGTTAAGAAAAAAATGTTCTGTTTACAAAAAGCAAGATAGACAAAATATAAAGATAGCTAAAAAGTTAAATAATTCCTCTGTCAGAAACTGGCCTAAAAAGGTATCAAACTAGTTAGTTGAGTGTGTATTTGTTGTCATCAGTTTCCATTAAAATCTAACATAATATGATCCACTTTCATTCCTCAAACGCTGATTATAATTGTACTGATTCACATAAAAATATATTGTTTACACACAACAATACATTGGGCAAGGAAACAACAACAGTTCTAAAATCAATGGCAAGGAGGGCATAGAATGCCTGGTGGGGTTCAATCAAGTGCAGGGTAGCTGAGAGGAAGTACAGAGAGCTGAATGAAGTTCGAACCTGATAGTAGGGCAGGAGGAAAGTAAAAGGAAATAGAGGAAAGAACCAGGAGGCAAAATACATTTACAGAGGTACAAACATAGGTCTGTACATATACAAATATATTAATATATAACGATAGGAATATAGGTCTGTGTACATATATTATAGGTAATTAAGGCAGCAGATGGACATTGGGCCTCTACTCAAGTCCTCTCTGATGCAGGGACACTTTGTTCTAATAACCTGGCATTCTGTGATGCTCACCTTTCTGACAGGATCACTGAAGACAAAATGGGTGCATAAGTTAATGTGGTGAAGAAAGCTGATGGTGCTC